ATCTTGCAAATGCGATAACTTTAGTACAAGGTGACAATGGATTCATACAAAAATGTATACAATGGGTGCATCTAGCTGGAGGCTGAGTGCTACCTCTGGCCGCTGACGGTATTTTTAAAATTTATTATACAAAGTCAGTATTTTATAAGGTGCCTGATTTATCACTGGGAATTTACCAGAAGTAGAGATTAGTTGGTTGAAAAATTGCATATAAATGTTAGCAGTCTTCCATCTGTGGGTATAGTTAATGGTGTTGTAGAGGAACATGGTAAATGGCCTGCATTTGTATACTACATTCAGTCATTCACCCATTCTCACACACATTCACACACTGGTGATAGCAAGCTACATTTTAGCCACTGACAGAGGCGAGGCTGCTGGACACTGGTGCCACCAGGCCCTCTGACCACCACCAGTAGGCAAACATGGGGTTAGTATCTTGCCCAATCGAACAACTGACCTTTTGGTTAGTGGTCAACCTGCTCTGCCACCCGAGCTGCAGCCACCCCACATGATTAGTGTTCCTAATGTTAGAGCGTTTATGACTCTTTATTAATGTTGCACCTGGATCTCCCTTGCGTGTCAGCTCTGGAGGATTGCAGGTGCATGTTATTTTAGCAAAGTACAGATTTATTAGGTCCTGTGAAAAAGCTTTAATTTTTCTCTCTTGGTCATACAAATGTTTGTCATCACAAACTAGACCAGCAGACGTTTTTCCACTACCGTAGGAACAAAGCGTTTGTATAAGAATTAAAATTAGGCCCGTTGTAACTTTACAAGTTGCCATAGTTTGCTTGGAAACCAAACGAGAAAACAACAACTATCACAAGTTTTGCAATGTTGGGATTTATTGAAGTGCTGCTGTGTTTCATAGTAGTGTTTTCTTAATGGAAATTTTGGATTTTCTGTTTCAGCATCATGCGGAAGCTGCTACTCCTTTGCCACAATGGGAATGCTGGAAGCTCGTATTCAAATCCTCACCAACAACAGCGACGCGCCCACCCTCAGCCCTCAACAAGTGGTCTCTTGCTCCGAGTACTCTCAAGGTAAACTAACAGTAAATCTGTGCGTTTGTTATTTGACTCCCAGTTCAATTAATATTAAAACAGTTATTGGCTATTGCACATTTATGCTACAAGTAGAAAATTAACAAAACAGTGAAGAATATTTAGTCAATGTAAATATCAAATATCTCAATACACTGTAACGATGAAAAATGTTTGTATTGAATTTTTGTTTGTTTGTTTGCTTTGAGGGGGGGGTTGCCTTCAACCCTAATCTGAACTAATATTGCTGAAGTATTTTAATAGCGTGTACAAAGTGGGATCAAGATGTTCTGTAAAGTATATGAAATCACAAAAGGATTTCTAGGGTGCAGACTATGAGCAAGCATGTTAAAAGAGGTCTACAGGTCCAGAAAAAAGACTTGACTGGTCAAATGTAAACTGGGTACAGGTTTTGCAAATGCTGTAACTCCTTTTTGAAGAATCTTTTTGCATTTAGTATCATCGGTGGCTTTATAAAGTCATATTAATGCATTTTCAGTAATGCCCCCCCATCTTGGATCACATTAAGTTTTGCCCTTGAAAGGTTTTTGACAGGTTTAATATGTTCAGCAAACCTTGTTTTTCTCCTCCTATTTTTAAGGCTGTGATGGCGGGTTCCCATACCTGATTGGGAAGTACACACAGGATTTTGGCATTGTGGACGAGTCATGCTTTCCGTATGTTAGAAAGAACACTCCGTGTGGTGTTCCTCAGAACTGTAGGCGCATTTACGCAGCAGAATACAACTATGTTGGTGGCTTCTACGGCGGCTGCAGTGAGGCGGCCATGATGTTGGAGCTGGTCAAGAATGGACCTATGGCAGTAGCTTTCGAGGTACAACAGCTTCTCCCTGATCTAAGGCTTGATCTGTTAATGCAAATTCAACCCTCAGCATAAACTAAGAGATAAAAAGAATTCTACAGACCAGTGTTTTTGAAATGGGGGGGGAGAAGATCAAAATCAAATGATCATACTTGCTGTTCACAGATCTTTAATTTTCTTGAGTTTATTACTTTGTTTGGCGTTGGACGAGGCTGTCCTTGAAGGGTGGCTCACCTCACCTATAAAACACTGACTGAAAACCCGATTCAGCAACGTCTCTTAAGGGTTTATAATGTTACAGATTTTCATGAATTTTCTAAATTGCATTGTTTCAAATCACCATAATCAATATAAACTGTCTTCTAAATCTTTCTAAGCACAGGTTTAAATTATTTTCTTAATCCCAAACATATAAGTAAGCCAGCAGACAGAGAGATGAGCAGAGCAGCAACCCCTTGAACTCTATATCCTTTATATCGGAGTGTATTTGCTTTCCAGTTAAAAATAAAATGATCCCATTCTGTTCACAGGTCTATCCTGACTTCATGAACTATAAGGAGGGCATCTACCACCACACTGGCCTTGCAGACCCATTCAATCCCTTTGAGCTGACCAACCATGCCGTGTTGCTGGTGGGGTACGGCCGCTGCCACAAGACTGGGCAGAATTACTGGATTGTCAAGAACAGCTGGGGCACCGGCTGGGGCGAGGAAGGCTACTTCCGAATTCGCCGCGGAAATGACGAGTGTGCCATCGAGAGCATCGCTGTCGCAGCCAACCCTATACCTAAACTGTAGAAGCTGAAACGTCAGAATTGACATAATCAATGATGATTGACATAACCAATGGTTATGAGTCACAGATTTTAAAGCACAAATGTTCCATGGTTTTTATCAACATATGCATTGGAGATTGACAATTTAAAGCTAAATGTATAACTTTTCACAAAAGAATTGAGTCACAGGGTGGCACTAATGAGCAGAGCAAGATTAATTAAATGAAAAATTATGGATTTGCGCTGTAATGGCAACCTCCAAATGGATATGCAATTTGTTTAAAAGGGAAATCAATCTGAAATCTTAACATTGTTCATTTATACTTTTCATAAACTGCCAGCTCTCAGATCAGGAAGTACGGTGCATACAGTAGGTTATCCCTATTATTTCATACGTTGCTGGGATTTTTAGTTTTTGCTCCCAAATGTAAAAATTTAGAATTTGGGTATGAAGGATTTTATGTTTGTATGAATTACACATGTTTACAGCTCTGAAAATGGATTTTTAATTTAAGGGAAACAGTAATGCTGCTCTTTTGATGCCACTCCCCAACACCACCACTTTTTTATGTTTGCTGATTTAAGCAGTGACTGATTAGCTGCCTTTTGAATATTCAAGCTCTAACTGCCAATAAGTACTTGAAATCAAGTACCTACCACTGTGGATTAGGACATACTGCTTATCTCAGTATGTTCTAAAGTTTTACTTGTCACATTTAAAGGGAAATCCAGATGTGTGTTTTGTTCTTTGACCCAGGAATGCACTGAACAGAGTAGAAACCTCTTTTGTCCTTGCTACATCGAAACCAAAACTGCCACGTTTTCCTGTTGGATGATTTGTAAGAGTTTCCCAGTGAGCTGTTATTGCTGCATCAGTTAATAAAGGGATGCAAATTGATTGTAGTGCCTCTTACTCCTCCTCTATACCCTTTCTATTTCAATTTGGAAGTTTTGAAATTATTTTTTTCTGTGTGTGACAAAATGTAATGCAATTTTCTATAAATGAAATAAAATAATTGGAAAAAGCATAATATAAAATTTAAATACTTCCACTGGTCACTTTATTAGGTACATCTGGCTAGTACCAGGTTCTTCCCTTCGGCACTGCCTTAAGTCTTCATGGCAAAGACTCAATAAGATGCTGACAGATGCTTGGTCTATATTAACATGATCACGCAGTGACTATAGATTTGTCGGCTGCACATCCTTGTTTTGTTCCACCACGTCCCAAAGGTGCTCTGTTGGGTGTAGATCTGGTGACTGTGGAGGCCATCTGTGCAGAGTGAACTCAGGTGCATTTTATCCTCCTGGATGCAGCCATCATAGGATTGATGTGCTGAGGTCATAAAGGAATGGCATGGTCAGCAACAGTACACTGATAGACTGGTGTTAAAATGATGCGCAGCTGGTAGGGAACAGAGTTATGTCCTTACCATCTTAATGTCGCAGCAGAAGAGATGAGAGTCATCAGACCAGGTAACATTTTCTAGCTTTCTGTTGTCCAGCTTGTCAGTCTGTGATAATTACAGCCTCAGTTCTTCCTGTTTTTAGGTGACAGGAGTGGCAGTCAGTATGAACATATGCTGCAGTGGCACATCTGCTTCAAGGCGAACTTGAACTTCAGCAGGTCGTCTTGACCACTTTTACAAACCTAAATGTGATGAGTTGCTTGCATGCAATTGGCTGATTTGTGTTAACCTCCTAGGACCTGGCGTCCACATATGTGAACATCACATTTTGGGTTATTTAGACCAAAATACTCAATTTTGCTCTACAAGGGCCTGATATCCACTTACGAGGACATTATATTGCTAAGGTTCTATCAAAACTTTAAACGAATATCCTCATATGTGTCTCTCATTTTTATTAGAAACAAAAATACGGTAAAAATAAATAATTTAAAAAAAAATCTGGTAAAACTTTGTTTTTACATTCATCGGGCCCCAATATGCCCAAATATCAAAGAGAAATTAAAAATAAATGCCGTGGAAGAGTTTGGGTCTTAGGAGGTTAAGGAGCCTATGAACACGTGTACCTAATAAAGTGGCCGGGGAGTGTGTATAGGCCATTCCGTTCTTGCGCTCTGCTTCGACGAGCTGCGAAACCAAACAATGTTACCAGTGCTGACGTTTCGGTAATGATAATTCAGTTTACATAATGCAGACCTGTGGCAGGCACTGTTATGCCCCATCTTTTTTTCATTTCCATAAAGCAGGTTACATTTTGCTGACTGCTTTTATCTAAAATAAAGTAGTCTGCAAATACAAAACAAGCAGTAGTAGTCAGCTAGTATAAGAGCAGTGCTGCCTCTCCAGCTTGGAGCTGCCCATCGTGAGTCACAAGGTCCAGACGTCTCTGCTTCGCTTCCCTCTGTGGGCCAGGGCGTACCTTGCCGCCCCTTCTCATTCCCAGCTCTCCCCAGCTCTCTCTGCGCTGTCCTGTGCGTCTCCCGCTATCATCCCCAGGTCTTCCCAATACGGTGGATTCATGCTCGACTCTCGCCCTCCTCGGTCGCCATGCAGAACAACCACCATAAGGAGCATCTCTATAAGATTCTTGTGATAGGCGACCTCGGGGTTGGGAAGACCAGTATCATCAAGCGATATGTCCACCACAACTTTAGCCCCAACTACCGAGCCACCATCGGCGTGGATTTCGCACTCAAAGTGCTCAACTGGGACCAGGAGACCGTGCGCCTTCAGCTGTGGGACATCGCAGGTAAACCAACTTTCACCCACCGCTCACATTAAATAGGAGGAGGTGAAACAGTTCGATAACACCGCGGGGATTGTAAGAAACGAGGATTTGTGCGATTTGTTTCCTTTTTGCCTAAAAGTGTTTTAAGTATGTTACATTTAGAAGTTATGCAAAGCAGATTATTATCAATTTATAACTTCTTTGGAAATGTGTGATTTTCTTATGCAGAAAACATGCTGGAGAGGGTTAATTAGTCTTTTAAGTGAAATTACCATAACATTTGAAATCTCTTTAATGAAAGTGACAAGCTATAATCTAAAGAAATTTCAGTTTACAATTATTTAGCCCGTTATGTCTTCATTAAATGACACACAATCACACAATGATTGTCGTTGTAAAAACCACCTCGGTAAGTGCTGTGCTAAAGCTTTCCAAATAATTAATGAAATACTTATGAGAGGTTGGCTGCTCCAGTAGAAACGACATGTTTTGTAATTTCAGGAAAATGTGTGAGATGTCTGACTATGGACTTTAAAATTATTGTTTATTTTACATTAAACAAATCATAGGTTAATAAGGAAACAAAAGCACACCAGTCCAAGATAGTTTTTTTCTTTTTACAGTTCACCCTTGTTTTTAACACACACACACACACACACACACACACACACACACACATTCTTGTTCGTCATTTGTACCAGCTGACTCCAAATTCCTGCCTTCCAATCGCTTGGCTATGCACTCATACAATCACATGTTAAAAAGGTTAAAGTCATATATAAGATGAGCTTTTGCGCCATGTGACCTTGATGAAGGAGCATCACGATGCTCTCATGATAAATCAGTGTCGTCATAGTAACGGCGTGCCACTCTAAGATTGTTTCGAGGCTTATGCAAAACCTTCTGCACCAGCTGGTCTGTTGAGCCAGAAAATTAATAATCTTATCTAATTTGGAACGAAACATTGAGCTCATGTTCCAGCTGATGACATAATAAAAGCATGTTTATTATATCACCTTTATAATTTGATGTCATGCGGTCCCCAGTACGGAGTTTTTTTGCTCTAAATGCAGCTGTCTTACACACACACACGCACGCACGCACACACACACACACACACAGTGTAACTAAACAAAGTGTTTTCACATTTTTTCCCCGAGTAGATCCCAAGTATCACACGCCTTCACTATACTTTGTAAATGTAGTAGTATATAAGTTGAATAGTGTAAATTGTCGGTAGGTGTTAGGATGCCATGTCATCAGGGACGAGGAATGGAAGTTTTTTATTTGCTTTAAAACCAAAAGTTATTAAAATAGAAATTCAAATATGTTTATGTGTCGGTTTTCAGTTTTTAAATTGCTTCTGGCGATGACAGATATCAGAAATAATACCGGCTTTTGACTGGGGTGCTGTTGGTTAAGATGACAGAAAGACTACAACAGCCTCATGTCACATGAGTGTCTGCTGAGGTTTAGAAGAATCCTCAGACCTGGTGCTCTCTCCCCTCCTGTGCGCTCTCTCTCCAGTAAGCGCAAGCAGTCATGTGTCTCAAACTCATGTGAGGGAGATTTGAGGCCCAAGCTCCTGTACACAGAAAGCTTTTTATTATGAGCCAAAGATGAGGGTCTCCCTCAGAGAAAACTGCCACAGGTCTTGCACTGTACTCATTGTGCTTCTTACACTCACCTAAAGGTTATTAAAGCCTTCAAGATGGAAGATTATCTCAAGTAAATACGCTACGTACAACCTTTTCTTGAAATATTTATGACTGCGTCTCACTTTTATGAATCTAAGAAAAAACTCACCCAGCTCTGTTATGGGATTTGGTAATGAGCTACAGTTTTCTCATGCAACAGATGTAATAAATCACTCGCTGTTCTGTGCATTTACCAAGATAAACAACTTCGACCTTTTTATCTTTGTCTCCCATTTTTCTATGCCATGCTGCCAGTGTAGCAGAGCTAACTTCACAAGCCTAGATCATGTACACATAAGAGGAAAAACCTTTAGGGTTTTGTTTCTTTGTCTTTGACTTCAGATAATTTTCAGTCTTTTGAACTTTCGTGGATTATGTTGAACTGCAGACTTACACTATTGCTGCCTTTCTATGAGCCTAAAAGGCCCCTAAGTAGTACCTATTTTGAGGAGTGAGGTTAAATATTAGCAAAGATACAATATTTGCAAACAGCTACACAGAGACATAAGTAGAAACACCCAAAGATACCTGATCTGATCTGTTGTAAAGAGATACTTAAGTTTTCTAGTGGGGCTTTTTCAAACATCCTCTATAATGTACTTGCCCAGAAAGCAGTGTGTTTGAGAAGGCCAGGGGCATAATTTTCTGCTCGACATACTCCAATGGCCGACCTGTTTCAACAAGCATCTGCCCCTAAATAAGTCCTTGAGCAAACCTTTCTGCCTCCCACCTGTTCTGCATCTGACCTTGTGGTCTGATCCATCTGTTCAAAAAAAAAAAACAAAAACCCAAAACACTGCTGTGGGACTCAAAACCCTTTTTCTTGGCATCTTCTCTTGGATGCCACGATGAGTAGACCAGTTTGATTTATGGTTATTCCACAGTGTGGAAGTGTCTTGATTTTATTCTGCGGCTGCGCAGCTGAATCTGATGGTTCTTCAGCAGAAATTATGGATGGGAAAATGTGTGTGGATACAAGATTCCAACAGGGCTTATCAAATTAATTTTTAATTAATTAATTTTTTTTACAGACAGTTTCACAAGCAGGCACGCACAGACTCCAGAGCCATGTTTCTTTCTCCCATTCTGCCTCTTTTCCATCTGTCCCTGCTTGTCTTGTAATGGACTGGAAAAAAAAATTGTGTGTCTGAAGTATCGGATGCAGGTGAAATATGTAAAGAACGCATCCATAAATACACCCAAAATGAGAAAATGGTAACATTGTTTATGTTTGCTGATAAGGTGACAGCTTTGATAGACCATTGTTATACTGATCTGTCGAAAATTTCACGATGTGCTTTAATAAAGTATGAAAAATTTAAAATGCATCACAGTGACAACAAGCAATAATCTTATGTGTGTGTGTGTGTGTCACTTTGTGTGCACGTCTTTCAGGTCAGGAGAGGTTTGGCAACATGACCCGTGTGTATTACCGTGAAGCCATGGGTGCACTCATCGTGTTTGATGTCACACGGCCTGCCTCCTTTGAGGCTGTCACAAAGTGGAAAGAGGATTTGGATTCCAAACTGACACTTGCCGACGGGAAGCATGTAGCCACTGTTCTTCTGGCCAATAAATGTGACCAGGGTCGGGATGTACTGACCAATAACGGAATAAAGATGGAGCAGTTCTGCCAGGAGAACGGCTTTGTGGGATGGTTTGAGACTTCTGCTAAGGTGAGAAAGATGACAAACAGACACACACACGAATACACGTACACACACAGTGTTTTAACTACAAGGAAACAAAGAGCAGCCTTCAACAGAGCTCTGAGGTTCAATCCCCGTGTGTCAGCAAGTCTCCTCAGAGGTCCTTGGGAAGCAGCTGACTCCTTGACTCTATCAGACCTAGCACCTGATTACCCTGTGGAGATGCCACCACAGAGGCACATTCAGGATGTGAAGAGATCCTTTAAAAGTGCTGAGTTTAACAGTCCCAGTCTGTTCAGTATTTGCATATCAATCACAGAGCCCTGCTGCTTTTGCACAAGAGTCTCACAGTCGACGTTCCTTCTGTGTTATTCCAGGTCAGCTGCACTTGCATCAGGTGCTCTGTTATCCAGACAGGATGTCCAGGAGTGTTGAGGGAATATACTGGCACACTTTTTTCCACTGACTGCACAAACCATAAAAAAGTGCTTATTCTTAAGCTTACAGAGACTGTGATGCAATTTATAAAAATTATATTTTTAACCAAAACGTAACTTTCAGCTAAAATACCTAAACTGCTTACAAAATATACTTTGTTACGTTTGCTATATTCAGTCAGTCTGAAGCCTTTGTAACAAAACTTAGACTGGACTGACAGCATAGCAATAATATTTAAAGATGAACAGAAGAAATGGGATAATATATTTAAATACTGAGCACAAATAAGAAATAAAAGACAGTAAAAGTTTGATTCAAGGCTCACTCATGACGACAGAAAATAAAAATGCGGTGGGTGTATTCTGATTGTGAAATGAGCAACACACAGTGACACAGTAACACACTCAGACCTGAGTATGGCTGCTAGGAATCTCACAGCTAGGTGGTAAGAGGAGAACATAGACTGAGGTGTGAGAAAGCTTAGCCATATACGGCACTGAAAGTTCAAATAAAACTTAACAAAAACAATCAGCCACTTAACCATATACAAAATCTGTTCTCACTTTTGTTTCTTTATACAAATATTTGTACAAATCTGTGAGGTCCACAGCTGCCACAGGCCCGAAATAGATTATACTCAGTATTCTCAGCAAAGCATTATTGTCCTCTATAGTTTTAGTTGTTGTATAAATGCCATTTATACCATTAGAAAACAAAATACAATCTCTAAAATATTGTAATTGTTTTTATTAGAGACCTCATTTGACTACGATGACATTTCCTTTCTGAGCTACTGCAGTATCCATCAATCACACACTGTGTCATCACTGAGTTCATCTAGGTTTTTTAATTCTTTCTAAGATTAGGATAGAAAGACTCTAATGTTGAGAATTTATATAAATTAGAATTCAGGCCTGCATAATGCAGGTCTTTCTTGCATATGTAAGTGTTCCATACTGTGCAAATTGATCATTCCAGTTTTTACCTATTCCAGTATTTTTGCAATCATCTCCGATTGTTTGGGCTTTCTCTGTTTTCTCTGTATTATTGTAGAGTATTTACTTTGCAATACACAGTGCCTTGAGGTGACTGTTGTTGGTATATGGTGCTGTATAAATATATTACATTGAAAAAAATATATATTTTTAGTGTAATCACAGGTCTCATTAGGTTTTGCTGTGGATGCTTTCGTCGTCATTTTTTTGTGTGTAAAAGAGAGATGCATTGTCATTTGTCAGTGTGTCAGACCAGAGGCAACCACTCAGAGTAAATGCAAAAATCTCTTTCCAGCTTGTGTTCACATCATTCCTGCTGACTGTTTTGTTGTGTTTCTTCCACCTCTTCAGTTTAGTGACGGACCATTTGATTCACTCAATTAACTCCACAGGTTTTTCTTCCTGCAGGCGCTTTTTTCTATCTTGTTTAGTGCCTTATAACATTGATTGATCTTCTACCTTTTCATATTCTTTGTCTTTCTTTCCCCCCTCTCCTCTATCCCCCCTCCCCCCTTTTTTTTTCTCCACTCTCTGCTTTCAGGAAAACATAAACATCGATGAAGCAGCCAACTGCTTGGTGAAGCACATCATTGCCAGTGAGAAAGACATGCTCCAGTCAGAAGTCCCAGACACCATCACGCCTCAATTAGAAAAGGACAAAGGTGGGACATGCTCCTCGTGCTTCAGATCCCAGTAGGACCTGGTAGTTGGATTCTCATTACACACAGTGTTCAGTTTGTGTGTGAGAAAGAGAACAAGGAAGAGCTCCTTTTGGCTCCTTTCGAGGTAGACGGTGTGGGTGCCAACTCCTTTCCAATCTTTAAGCTTGGGTGGGTTGGGTGTGGGGTTTGAGTGGACAGAGAGGCAGCTGGCTCAGGAAATGGATGGATTTGAGCAGAGGCAGAAAGAGAGATGGGTGCAGCTGTGTGCTCTTGTCAAAGACAAGGTCACCCTCTGGGTGACTTCAGGCCTCGACACTGCCACTTCGGCTACCATGGAGACGGAGTTAATGAACACATGCACAGAAAGGTTGTGGCAAATCACAGAATATCTGTGCTGGAGGTGTGTGGAAGTAATCACTATATGGAAGCCATGGTCGCTGCTCCTCTTTCTCTCTTCTTACTGTCGTCTCTGTTCTTTTCCTCTGCTCTCATTTTTCTCCTCTGCTTGTTTGTAATTCCTAACCCGTACCTGACGGCACGTTTGGTTTGTCACATTTTTCATGCTTCTTTCACAAGCAAGCAGAGAAAGCAAGTTAAGAATTTTTTCTCACCGACTCTCTCCCAAGCAATTCCTTCTCAATGCTAATAAGACCACAGCCACATTACATGGCTCCTTCAAATATGGCTTCATTTATTTTTAACTTTTCATGTCCATCCACTATTCCCAGTGAAGCACTGTAAAGCAGATTATTGCAATTAAAGTGCCTTTTTTAAAGCATTTTATTTAATATCTGCAGTAGAGATATTCACTATATATTATTTACAAGCCCTCTTAATGGTGCACATTTCTCTTTCTGTTCAGCCCTAATTAAGAATTGAACTCATTTCAATTTCAGCACTTTTAAAAATAATGCTGAATGTGTGTTAATGCCCATTGTATCCCTTATTTCTATCCAGTGGTTTTCTATTAAATTTCTATCCCACTGTGATTTCTTTTATTTGTAATGTTTGTAATTATGGGATGAATGCAAACATGTATACAACTATGTACATATTATATACAGCAAACTGAGGCAGATTATACAGTAGAACCAAAGATGTATCCAGTTTTCAAAATGTTCATGTGAATAAACCGTGGCTTTACTGACGACTAGCTGTTTGTCTTCTTATTATAACATTAAAAAGTCTGTATACAACAACAAACATGGTTTAACATTCATTCTATGCACTATGATCAAGGTATAAATGACTGGATCCTAACAATTCAATAAATTAAGGATCGTGAGGGAGATGTCAGTTAAGAAGTCTGCTCATATGCTTCGCCGTGCAGTCCTGGGAGGAGGTATAACCAGACAATACAGGTTTCTGGGTTAGGTGGCAGTAACCTCTTGTTGGCAAAACAAGAAGCCTGGGCTGTGTCTAAGCAGCACATCTGACAAACCATCACTGTCAGCCTGCAGCAGTGTTTTGCTGACTATTCACACAGCCAATGTCCTCTGGTCTGATGTGAAAAAGGGTAAATATTTGCTGTGCCACAAGAAGAATCACTCATCAGCACTGGTGATACTTGTCTTTACTGACAACAGTGGACATTGAGACTCCCCCCATCCTGCTCCACAAGGCTCTATCCTTCCTCTAATGGAATACAAAAAAAGGCATGTAGAAGAGAATTTGGTGAACGAAGTGCAAATAAAGTCACTCGGCCCAGATCAGGAGGCCTTTAAAGGCCAAGCTTAATGTAGTTTTTCTTTGTGTTTATTCTTTAAAATGGCAGATACTACAATGATTGACATGAAACCAGTTATTCAGAGTATCTGGAATCAGAGCATGCTGTAATAGATCACCGTGCACTGATTCCACCGGAGCCTATCCCAGCTGAAGTCCTATCAGGTCGCCATCTGAAATTAAATATAACAGCATGACAAACCTGGTGTCAAGCAACTCCAGGATTTAACTGATGATACAAATTTGTGATTGCATTTACTCCCCTTTCTATCATGTCTTGTAGTAAATGAAAAAGAGAATTATTGGTCATGCAAAAACCACACCTGTACTTTGTGTGTCATTCAGTTCTTTTGGTTTTAACAGTTTCATGCATTATGCTCATCTAACAGAAAAAGAATATTTTCCCAGACATCTAATGCAGATTTTATACTAGAAAAACTGGGTTTACATTTACAGAACAGCAGCTAAGGCGGGGCTTCATAGGACAGCAAGAAAAAAGAACAGAACTTCCTTTAAAACATCAACTAATGAGTTTATATGCCATTTGACTACATGATTAATTAAAGCTGATGTACATTCTTTGTTGTTCATTTGTACTGCACAAGGAACTGAACTCTGACAGCAGTTTTCAACAGCATAGCATTTTAAATTCACATGTTTAGTGTATCAAATCAAATCAGGATCACTGATGCAGTTCAAGCATACCTCATAACTATGCTTTGAATTGTATTTTTCACACTTTAACAGGAGATCACAGACATTTCTTTTGGAGCAGGGATTTTCTCACTGTTTATGTAACACCCTGTGATAAGATTTCACAGTGAAAAGTTCAAACTGGTACATAATAGTTCTCGTGCATTGTTTTTGACCCATCATGTGACTGCTGCATACACAGAGGATTCCAATCCTCAGAGACGTTAAAGAAACAGTTTTTAATCAGATTACAGCATCTGGTCAACAATGGGCAAAGAAGGGCACTGATAAGAGAACCCTCAAAACAGAGGCGTTTTTATAAGTGGCAGTCACTGACATTTCCTCAACTTTTCTTGCTTTTTTCACTACTTTTTGAATTTTCTGGGGCCATTTTAACTACTGGTAGAATGATGTGAAACCTGGATGCTACAGAGATAGCACACATAGTTAAACTCCAGGATGTTATCATCAACATGTGCCATTGTCAGATGGTTTGCTGTGTCACCCAACACAGTCTCAAGAGCTTGGAGGAGATTCCAGGAGTCAGAAAGTTACTCTAGGAGAGCTGGACAAGGCTGTAGAAGATCCTTAGCACGACCGCTATCTGCTCCTTTGTGCAAGAGGAACAGGATGAGTACTGCCAGAGCTAAAAAAAATAACCTCCTGCAGTCCACTGTTGTGAATGTCTCTAACCAAACAATGAGAAACAGACTGCATGAGGGTAGCCCGAGGCCTGATGTCTTTAAGTCCTGTGCTCACTGCCCACAACTGCAGAGCCCACAACTGGTATTTGAAATAGAATACTACAATTGGCAGGTCCACAGTGTGCCACAGATGAGGACAGGCTCACCTTTAGCATGTGGCAGACGTAAAAGTGAGAAGCCGTGGAGAACGTTATTCTCCCTTTAGCATTGTTCAGCATGATTGGTTTGGTGGTGGGTAAGTGATGATCTGGGGATATCCATGGAGGGACACAAAGACCTCTACAGGCTAGGCAACAGAACCCTGACTCCTAAGTAAAGCGCTATACAAATACAGGCCATTTACCATGAGGAAGAACACCTCTGGACATTATGTTTCAGACCATCTGATGCTACCAGGCTGCGCCTTATTTCCTGATTACTGCATGCTGCATGTGACTGTATGGGAGTTGTTCTAACCCACTTTAACCCCCTTGGCCATGTAGCTTGTGAAACATTTGCTTATATCTTATTAAATTCAAGCGGAAAGCCAAAAGAGCAAAAAGGGAACATTTTACTAGAGCTCACAACACAAGTTGTTTGGTGACTTATTTCTAAATGAGCCTTTAACCCCACAAATCTAAGCAACCATAGAGTTGATGTTTGTGGTTATTTTTCATGAATTCATTTTTCAGCACTTTTCTCCTGAAACTCACTGTCTAATTATCTCCCTCTAAAGATAACATTTTGAGCCTCGTTTAACACTGTGGTTTCTTCTAATCCTTGGGAGACAAAGACGCCGTCTGTTGTCTAGCGCTTCTCTCTCCATTGCATATTGGTTTAGAGGTTAGGCCGCGCGCTGCAGGAAGATGGTGTCACTTTCTAATTTTCAATAATTAGATCGGATTTTCAGCGTTGATGTAATAATTTGAGAGAGAAACCACGAGGAAGCGGAGGGGAGAGGTTAGGCGCAGGGTAGAGTTGTGTGCGAATTTTTTTCTTTTCTTCTGACTCAGAAGCCAACCCCTTCTCTGTACACCCACACTCTCTCTCTTCTCTCTCTCACACAGTCAAACGCACACATGCCCAGATGATCAGAAGATTTCACAGCTTTATCTCTCGCTTTCTGCTAGTCTCTAAGGCAACAAGCTACCAAGAAAGTCATAGCTTTGTTTCTCTTTACAGACTGACTCTGCCCTTGTAGTTCTCCTCTATTTCTTTTCCAATGTTACACAAAAAGGAAAAAGTAGAGGGAATAAGGAGGAAGGGATGAGGAGGAAATGGGCTGCATGTGATTTCAGGTTGGCGTAAAGTCTCTCTTTAGTCGTGTTATTTACACACTCACTAACACAAACATGCACGCTCTATTTTCACACCAATACACCAACCTGCTTCAAAAAAGTAGTGATGCTGTGTCAACTGCATGCAAAACGAGAACGCAAGAAGTTGCATAACATATATACGTATACAATTTCTAAACGGAGATTGATTTATATAGTTAGTTTGTTAGTTTTGCAAAACGTGCTCGTTCTGGATTAATTGCTGGAAAATGTTTGGGCATGTTTGCCACCGTGTTACATCACTTCTTTTGTTAGCAAACCTCTGTAAACATTTGGGAATTAAGTTGAAGTTTTGAAAGCAAAACATTTTCCCATTCTTACTTGATTTCAGCTGCTCAACAGTTTCAGACGTCCTTTTTGGTGTTTTCCAGTTGGTAATGTTCCAACTGTTTTCAGTGAATGACAGGTGAGGTCTGACTCTTCTGCTACAGAGCCATGCTGCTGTCAGCAGGATAATGAGCAGAATGTTTTTTGGTGTTGCCTTGGCATGCATTAATGCACACATATATTGTCACGGATAGTCCAAAGGATCCACAATTTGGACCCTGAGATTTTTTTTTTTTTTGGGGGGGGGGCGGTATTTTATTTTGTTTTACTTTATTATTGTTAAGTGTTTGTATTGTAGCCTCTAGCTTAAGTTTACAGGAATTTCTTCTTTGGCTTGCAAAGCAACAAATCCCACAGAGGTGTAAAAAACTGATGTGCATTCAACTTGGCAACGTGTTGTCAGGTGAAAAATCACCCTCAAGAGATAAAGGATATTCATACTGTATACAGTATAAGTATAAATAAATTATAAATGCTGCAATAAAGCAGCCACAGAAAAAATACAGGCATAGAGCTCAGTTGTAGTGCTACTACATAATCGATAAACACTGAGAGAGGTGTTGGAAGTGGAGGCTGTGGCAGGCTTACTTTGGCTGTGAATTAAACACACAGTAAAAGAAAATCAATAGTAGGAGCCAGGAGAGACTCTGGATGAATGAAAATAGTGGCTGCACCTCCAGCTCTGATCTTTGTGTGTTTTTCTCTCTCTCTCTGTGTGTGTGTGTGTGTGTGTGTGTGTGTGTGTGTGTGTGTGTGTGTGTGTGCCCGTGTCTGTGTGACCTCACAGTAGCAAAAGTTTCAGTGAATTTAAAATATAGTGCTATGTGGACTCTCAAAGACTTGCTCCGAATGACTAATCATTCACAACCAGTTCAGCCTGAGAGTGAATCTGATTCAATACTAGACTTAGTGCACTCTCCCTGTGTCTCTCTGTCTCACACACGCACACACACACACACACACACACACACACACACACACACACACACACACACACACACACACACACACACACACACACAACACAATTGATTAAACTTGAGGATTTGTTTACACATCATAGGATAGCAGATCCTATTTGAAATGTCTGCATGAGGTTTGTCTGCGCTTTTCCTCGCCAGCACTCGTTTCAGTGCTTTTAGAATTGATGGCATTTTTAAGGAGCTGTTTTGTTTGCTCTTCAGAAGAGCATTCGTATGTCAGTGAAAATCAGAGGATGGCCTCTTAGAAAATTGTCATTTGTGCAGCAAATGAGCTGAATTGATTCATCTGACATGGTTGCGTTAAACCGAAGCTATGAAATGAGTCAAGCAGTTGGGGAGAAAGCTTTTGTCTGCACACAGGGTAAAACAGTGGTAACGTGGAGAAATGCATTTTCTGTCTGTAGCAGTGGAGCTGGCTTACTTGTTG